GTCCGCTCGCTCCAATGTAGAATTCCGAACAGGATGCGCACTCTACTTCGTAAACAGTGTTCCTTAACAGGCAAATTTTTCGTTCCTCCTGACAATATGCACAGTTTTCGTGTCTGCATCGATCCTCGTACAATCGCGACGATGTAAGAAGGAGGCGCAGTGTCGGCGGTGGACGAAATATCAGGCGGATTGGCATCCCAGATGTCCTTATCACGCGGTTTACATCTCTCGCAAAAGAGTCGGACATGTAAGGAACTATCAGTGGGATGCCTCCTGGAGCCTGGTATGGACGCCAACAATGCACTTGTCCTTTTCCGTAGCCATTGTCGAGGAGTATGCTCGCCAACTTCTCCATCACTTCAGGAATTAGTGGACGTCAACCTTCGAGCTGTTCCCAAGGCATTCTGAACAACATTCCTCCTCCATAAAAAGAGGGTAGCAGCTTCTCGCATGAATAAGTATGTTCTTCGAAGCAGATTTTTTATGCCACATGGAGAGTATATGACCTCCGGATAGTTTCACTTTTGTGTTCAAGAACGGAAGGAAACCATCCTGTTCAGGATTCAGTAGTCAGTGTTATATTCGGATGCGCTGAATTCAGCCTCGTGAAGGTTCGACGTAGTGCTGTTCTGGACTTGGCAACAACGAATATGTCGTCTTCGTAACGACCGTAGAACAGCAATCCCGATGATAGGAAACGTCTTTCCAAGCGGTCCACGAATACTATCGCCAGAAGCGGTGCAATACGGCTGCCCATTGCTAATCCTCGTGTCTGCATATAAACGTTGTTTCGAAAACGGAAAAGGTTGAACTTGACAACATTTATCAGAAGCTCTTCGATCTCGGATACAGACAGTCCGTAAAGCTGACAACTGTTTCGGTGTTGTCTTAAAAGGCTTATGCACGCTTCGATGGCCATCCTTGCATCTACGTTGGTGTATAACGCAGATACGTCAAAACTTTGATATGATGTTCCAGAACCGTTTGGAATTGTTGTTTCCCGCAAGCTATTCAGAAAGTGATCAACGTTCTTGAGATGCGCAGGTACGTGATTGAGCAGTGGTGACAACATGTGCTGTAAGAACCAGCTAATCGCGTCCGTTGGGCCTCCGCAAGAGGATACAATCGGTCTCGTTTTGATATCGTTGTCACTCATGACTTCTCCTTCTTCAGAAAATTCTAACTTGTGAGTTTTCACAAGCTGATAATACGTGGGTATGCACGTATACTTGGGAAGAAGACGAGCCAGAGTGTGTTTTTCTAACTTTGGACGTAGATTCATCCTTTATCACTTCTTCGAGTTTGCTCATTCTTGTGTGTAGCGGCTGTATCGCTCGGTTATGTTGAATGTTGACAAAATCTGATAAGAACGCCTCGGACCGAATATGTAGCGAACCACCAGCTATACCCTTTCCGGCATGAGTCCTTTACTTTTCCTCACCGTAATGCAAACAAACACCCATTGCATCCCAGCTTCATTCGGAATAATGTCTACCGTTTGTCACATTCCGTCGAGCGATGGCGGTACGAAATATTCATAAAATCTTGGCCAAAGACCGCCTTCATTGATGCCAGCAATTGCTGAACAAAAACACAACGAAGCTCGGTGATAGACGAACAATTGTGTCAGTCTAAAGCAAGCTCTGACGAAAAATCATTGTGACCTCAGATTGCTGGAATCAATTGATGTTTATCACTGAGAGACAATGTTGAGCACTCTTTCGCCAACGAAATACGTGCTTCGGCTGGAAAGTAATTTTGCAAGCCTCATCTTCGTCAGAAGTTCTTGCAGGGTCTTATCAGGGATTCGAACGACCCAGAGTATGAGCGGGCGCGTCATTCCTCGATGGGGGATCAAATCGTATGAAGATAGTGTTATAATTCTACTGCAATCGCTTGGCCTAGGGGGTTTTGCACCAGACCAAGATTCCTTCAGACATGCAAGAGTGGACATACTGGGTCGCGTTCAGAAAATTGTTGGGTTATTCCACAGCTGGAGAGAGCAGATTGAGACAAAGTACCACGCTCCAAGAACATTTTGAGAGGGAACCATGCCTTTCCGCAGACCGAGTTTGGCGACAACATAAACAAACTTTGTTTGTTCCAACACCTGAGAGATCTCCAGACAATATCCTTTCGAGTGTTTGATCACCACAAGCAGCTCGGAAGCCAGAAAACATGACTCCGTCAGAACGGAAATGGTCTGCGAAAAGCAATGATTGTTGAAACATGGGCTATACGATTCTCAGTTGGCGACAAATGTGGGGATTTTTCGTATGTCGCGCCCGAGCGAGACATAATTCTGTCGAGGGGGTTTATCAGATTTTTCACACAGCACATAACACGATAAGCCGCTACAAGCAAGAATGCCAACAAACTCGAGAAGTGGATAAGGAGGATGTCTACGTCCCGAAGTTAGAACAACACACTCTGGCTCGTCTTCTTCAAGTATACGTGCATACCACGTATTATCAGCTTGGTTGAAAATTCACAAGTTGGAATTTTCTAAGAGAACGAGAGTCAGTGGAGCGACAACGATATCAAAACGAGTAGACGATTGTATCCTCTTGCAGAGGACCAACGCGACGCGATATAGCTGCGTTCTACGCAACATGTTGTCACCACTGCTCAATCACCGTACCTGCCATCTCAAAAACGTTTGATCCTTTCTGAATAGCGTGCGAGAAACAACAATTCAAACGGTTCTTGGAGACATCTATCAAAGTTTTGACGTATCTGCGTCTATACAACCAACGTAGATGCAAGGGAGGCCATCGAGCGTGCAAAGCCTTTAAGACAACACCGAAACAGTTTGTCAGATTTACGGACTGTCTGTATCGAGATCGAAGAGCTTCTGAAAATGTTGTCAAGTTTCAACCTTTTCCGTTTTCGAAACAACGTTTATATGCAGACACGAGGATTAGCAATGGGCAGCCGTATTGCACCGCTTCTGGCAGATCAGTATCGTGGTGCGACGCTGGGAAAGAGTTTCCTAGCATCGCGGATTGCTGTTCTACGGTCTTACGTTAGACGACATATTCGTTGTTGCCAAGTCCAGAACAGCACTACTTCGAACCTTCACGAGGGCTGAATTCAGCGCATCCGAATATAACACTGACTACTGAGGATCCTGAGCAGGCATGTTTCCTTCCGCTTCTTGAAACACAAAGCCTGAAACTATCCGGAGCATGATTACTTCCATGTGGCACTGCTTCGAACATTACTTATTCTGCTGAGAAGCTGCCACCCTCTTTTATGAGGAGAAGGAATTTGTTAGAATGCCTTGGGAACAGCTCGGAGGTTGACGTCCATAATATTCCTGAAGTGATGGGCGAAGATGGCGAGCATACTCCGCGACAATGGCTACGGAAAAGGACAAGTGCATTATGTTGGCGTCCATACCAGGCTCCAGGAAGCATCCACGGCGTGAGTTCCTTACATGTCCGGACTCTTTTGCGAGATATGTAAAACCGCGTTGATAAGGACATCTGGGATGCCAATCGCTGATAATTTCGCCACCGCCGAACGTGCGCAGCCTTTTACATCCGTCCGGATTGGTACGAGGATCGATGCAATGGACAAACTGTGCATATGCCAGGAGCGAACGAGAAATTTGCCTGTTGAAGAACATTGTTTACGAAGTAGAGTGCGCGTCCTGCTCGGAATTCTACATTGGAGCGAGCGGACGACCACTCTTAAAAGGCTAGACGAACACCTAAGGGCCTCCGGAAACTTCCAGTGTGTCCGGAGAATCTCCTTTTCAGGCACCATTCCTTGCGTAGACGATGAACGCGCTGCTGAAATTCAAGGTGCGCGTGATCCACAGGAAGTATAAGTGACCCGGTGGAGAGGAAAATCAAGGAAGCACTAGAGATTCGGAGGAGGAAATCCACCCATCACAACAGGGAGGAGCTCACCAGGGAAGGATGGATAGGTCGAAAGTGCGGTTTAAAATGATATTGTATACCTCCTGATGCTTCTCAGACGCTGCATTCGAATCTGATTTCCAAATCTCCTAAACGGCTCTCGAACGGAGTTATGAAGCGTAATAGCTCAGTGGTGATGGTATGGGGTGGCAGGGGAAAATGCTGTAGGATCGGTCCTTTTGCAAGTTTGTTGCTTTGCTTTTGTCCGCGAACATTCTAGAGACAAAAGCAAAGCAAGCAATTTGCAAAGGAACCGATCCTACGAGTCTTACTGCCACACCATACCATCACCACTGAGCTATTACGCTTCATAACTCCGTTCGGAGAGCCGGTGTTAGCAGATTGGAAATCAGATTCGGAAATCAGCGTCTGGAGATGCATCAGGAGGTATACATTTCATTTCGAAAGGCCACTTCGACCTACCATCTTCCCTTGTCAGAAGAACAATGGAAGTCATTATTGGATAGTGGTAAGAAAGGAGGTTGCGGAATGAT